CGGGGGCGCCCGTGACGCGCTTCCGCTTCCGGTCCGGCCCCTCGGCTCGGCGACTGCTCCCAGCACCGCGGCCCTGGCCTCAGCCCACACTGACGCACTTCCGCTTCCGGCCGCTCGGTTTCTTCGCCGTTTCCGCCCGAATGTCGCTTCCGGCGGCGTCCGCTCCGGTCCTGCCGTGCACCTACGTCCCCCGGCAGGCGCTTCCGGTTCCGGCGGCGGCCGCTCTGTCCCCGCCGCTGCCGTCCGAGGTTTTCAATTCCCTTGGACGCACTTCCGGTTTCGGGTGTCGCTTGCCCGGTCTCCGGCAGCGTCGACTGCCCTTCCTTGACACACTTCCGGTTCCGCCGCGTCCAATTTTGCGTTTTACGGACGCGGCTTCCGCCGGGAAACCTCGCTTCCGGGGGCGCCTTTCGTCTGCCCTTTTCCCGGCGTCGTCGCCTGCCCTTTCTTGACTTACTTCCGGTTCCGTTCGGAGCCGCTCCCTCCCCGCTGTTGATTAAATCCCGGGGTCCGCAGCGGACCTTCGCAGCCCCGGCGGGGGCGGCTTCCGCCCGGTTCCCTAGCCGGCGTCACGCGCTGCTTCCGCCCGCAGTGACGCACTTCCGTTCCATCGGTAGCCGCTGCGATGCCGCTGCTGATTAAATCCCGGGCGGCGGAACGGCACTTCCGGTCCCGGTGGCGGCTTCCGCCCGATTCCCTGTCCGGAGTCACTCTTCGCTTCCGCCCTCAGTGACGCACTTCCGATCCGATGTCGCTGCTGATTAAATACCGGGTTCCCGAGCGGCGCTTCCGGTCTCGCAGGCGGCTTCCGCCCGGTTCTCTCCGCGGCGTCACGCGCTCCTTCCGCCCGCAGTGACGCATGTCCGGCCCGGGTCCTCAGTTCCCTGAGTACAGCGGAGACAATGCCGCGGAGCTGATTCGACATCCGGGGCGGGACTTCCGGGACAGAGGGGAATTTTATTAATGTCAATCATCCGCTTGTCAATCAACTTTGTGTCAATCTTGGGCAGCCAAGGGAGCACCGAGCACACAGCACCCACCGGGGAGGACTGTGCACCCGGGAGGACTGAGCACACGGGAGCACACGGGAGGACTGAGCACACGGGAGGACTGAGCACACGGGAGCACACGGGAGGACTGAGCACACGGGAGGACTGAGCACACGGGAGGACTGAGCACACGGGAGGACTGAGCACACGGGAGGACTGAGCACACGGGAGCACACGGGAGGACTGAG